ACAGCCATGACAGGCTTGTCAAGCTCGAATTACCCGTATGATGTCCACTGTGTAGCCACAGTTGCCAAAGAATTTGCAGTCAAGCAAGCAGGAAACAGATGAAACAGCAGAAGGCCTGATATTGACGGTGGTTTCGCATGTAGTCTGCAACCCCGTACCTGAAGACATCCAGTGTGTGGACATGTTGAGGTGTCCATGTCTTCCAGGTGGGTCACTTCGGCTGTGCCATGAATTTACCTGGCAAATTTCAAGGGTTCGATAAGATTAAAATCTACTCAAATCAGTTTAAATCATGAAGCATCCAGTATCAATCAAGAGTTTTCGATCCATCACTACAAGATCATACATTCCACCTTGCTGCTCCTTGATGTGTGCAAGGATGGACTCCAGTCTATCTTTCCGCTCAGGGCCCTGGAAGCATCGGCACATCAGATGTGACGCAAACTGTGTCATCTGGGAGACTTTCGGGCGGCCTTAAGGCCCGCAGCTCCAAAGCCCAAGCGCATTCCCCCAAAGTGATCTGGATTGCAAAGGAAGGGCTGCGGGATATGTAGTACCAGGCATAACCTCGGATCCATAACAGCTATAACATAGTCCGAACGATTCTCTGAAACTTCTCTTGGTAGCTAGCTTATTGTAGTTTATGCTCAGCCCAACAAAAGTCTGAGGCTGGGGCCCAAAAGTCTGCGTGTCTGTCAAAGAGGGAACCTTATCCAATCGCTGTCGACCATTGTTGGCAAAACAGTTCAACTAGGCAAGTTTCACGGGTTGCCAAAAACCTTTTCTGGTCCCAATTCGATGTCTTCTCTTCCTGTGCTTCCCCCTCTCTGCGTTTCGATTGTCTTTTGCAGCTTTTCTTGTTGCAGCCCGTTGGACATGTATGAGCACTTTACGTGTCCTTGTGGAACAAAAAAGTGTCCACACAATCTCAGCTGACAAGTCCAGTGAAAGCTCAGTAAGGCTGCGACATGTGCCCTGTGAGGCACGCTGACGTTGTAGGTAGTTCTATCCCGATCTAACGCCCAAACCTGGAGACAGTATCCGGTCGGATGTCCACGGCATCCGGTCTGTCGCAGCAATTCCTCTAAGGTGTGGACGACTCGGCAGTTTGTGATTATGAGGCTCCCAACCAGGTCCTGGCGATCCAATCGATCCAATTGATCCCAAGCTCAGCCAGACAGGCATTGAAAATGGCCTCTTGAGATGCTCCGAAATTCAGGATCTCATTGAAGGTCTGTGTTACCTGAAGCGAGATACGGGAAAACTACAATCATGCGTGGAGTCATCTGTGGAG